CGTGCGGACGCGCGCGCCGCCCCGCTGAGCCTCGGCCGGTCCCGCCGCGGGGCCCCGTGCGCTCGCCTCCTCGCCGGGCGGCCAGGCCGGAGAGCCCCGCGCCAGGCCGGGGCCCTGCCATCTCCCTGCGCGAGGGGCTGCCCCTCGGGGCAGAGCATCGGGGCGAGGGCGTGCGCGTGCCCGGCGGCGCTCTCGGGCGGGGAGGGGCGGCCGCGCGTGCCTCTGAGGCCGCGGGCACCGTGCGCACGGCCGGGCGCGGTGCAGGGACCGGACGGGGAAGCCGCCTCCCTCGCGGCCCCTGGGACCCGGAGCCATCCCGGGCGCTGAGCGGGAGCGGATTCGGCCTGGAACGGGGGAAGGACAGCGCTGCGCTGCCGGGCAGCACACCAGGCCGTTCAGTAAGCAAAAGTGCGTCATCAGGTGGCCCTTCGCGCGGCTTCTTCACCGTCATTTACGGTGCCCTTGTGAGCCCACATTCAGCAGAAGTTGGTGGGTCTTGCACGGGACATCAGCATCCTCCCTGGCCTCTCCCCTGTCGTGCAGCTATTTGCACTGCTATTCTCAGACGGGGCATGATGAGGTATTTCACTTGAAACCCCTGACCAACTGGAGTAGAGGTCTGTGGAATTCAGCGATTGTGCTTTATTGCACCTTGCGGCTGTGTATCACAACAAGCAGGAGGCCGGGTCGGTGTGTCACTGCTGCTCTTTTTCCTCTCCAAGAAAACGCAAGAAGCAGCCTCTGGGAAGCTCTGGGTTACGTGCCTCATGCAGACAGCCTTAGTTGCGCTAGATTCATGACCGCAAGATGAAGGCATGGCTGCCCACTTAAAAGGTGATGCACAAATTCACGAGGGGCAAGATTGCCCATGCCTAGTCGTCCTGCTGGCTATATGTTAATTCCAGTAGCAGAGGAAGGATTCATTCTGCCTCCAGTTGCTTGGGTTTGTGAACAAGGGTGTTCTGCTGCCTTCGCGCCTAGCTCTCGAGCTTCCAATAGGGCCGCCTTAACCTGGTGCCACAAAGAGGGCAGATTCAGCGCCAGTTGGGCTGCAGTGGGGAGGTTGTTCCCGAGATGAGGGGGCACCACTGAGAAAAGCCCTCACCCTAGTTGCCGCCCTCTGCATTTCCCTTGGAGCTGGAACTCGGAGGAAGGCCCCGGAGGGTGTGTGTAGTGTCCGAGTATATTGCTGGGAGAGGCGCTCCAACAGGTATTGTGGTCCTCGGCCATGTAGGGCTTTATAGGATACAACCAGCACCAGACTTGTATGTTCAGACCTGCAGGCCCCAGTAATGGATTTGGCTGCTGCATTCCGCATCCGTGGCAGCTTCTGAACTGTCTCCAAGGGCAGACCCATGTAGAGTGCATAGCAGCAGTCCAGCTTCGAGATTGCCAGAACATAGGCTGCTGAAGCCAGGCTATCCCTGCCCAGGTTGGGTACAGCTGGGCCAGCAGCTGCAGCTGGTTGAAGGTGCCCCAAGCCACTCGTCACCGGGGCCTCAAGGGACAAAAGTGGGTGAAGGAGCCCTGTCAGGCTACGAACCTGCTCTTTCTAGCACAGGCTGAGCATCCCTGTTCCGGCCAGAGGAACATCCCACTGCTGAGCTCTCAGTCTTGTCTGGATTGTGGTTGCTACCCCTCATCCAGCCCTTTGTCATAGCCAGACTTCAAAAACTAGTTGATTCTGGGATGTAATGGAAGCATGCCAGCTTGCTTACCGACATAGACCTGTCCTAGTCATTGGGGACATAATATTGGCAGGCTGGAAGCCGAAAGTTAAAGTCCGCCCAGCCTTCTGGTTTACAAAGACTTCGAGCCCCACCACCCAGAAGAGGCTCTCCAGCCAAGGGACTGTTTGCAAGCCCACAAGAGTAAATTGCAGCCCCATTCACACTCCAGAAGGTGTCCTTTGGTTTTGGGAGCAGCATGTTTATGGGTGTACTTAGAGACACACACAGTCCTCTTCTTCATTTCATTCTGACCCCCTTCCTGTCATTTCCCCTCCCTTTAGAGACGATAGTAGAGGGAGAGAACACCTTCAGCGGCTCTATTCGTAGGCATAACATCAGAGTTTGAGGTAGACCCCAATGAAAAATGGTCTCAGAGAATTTCCTCTAGATTTAACCAGAAGCCCCTTCCCCTCCTCCCTGCACTTTAATAGGTGATCCATGGCCATTTCTGTTTTTTCGTGGCTGATACAAAGTATACTTTCTCTGATAAATATGGGAAATCTCACATTTCAAACAACCGTATCATAACAGCAACTAGCTTTTGAAGTATCTCACGTTAGCGACTATTATCCTAGTAGTCTGCTCTGATATGAAGTACACACTATTTTACACATGTGTTTAATAATTAAATCATTTGTGTAAGCACATTGCGTGTATGTTCTGCACCATCCTCTGTGAGCACAGTGACTTATTTTACTGAAATAGCACTACCTACGAATCATAAGGTTTGCAGAAGGACAGATTAAAGGTTTTAGGTGAACAAAATGCAGTGGTGGAGCTTGGTCGCTGGCCATGGAATGCTGGCTTTGTCTGAGGCTGGTGGGGCGATTGAGCAGGGTGTCCCTGAGGAGTGCAGCAAATTGTTGCAGATCCAGCTTACATATATTCAAGTCTATTCCTTGCCTAGCACTGAAGCTGAATTCAGAAAAAGAAATTTTTTTTTATTATTATTATAACTTAACTGCAAAAAGTCTTCATCCAGTCTGATTTATAAAAACAGGACAGTGGGGAACATCATGGAGTGTTTTCTATAATAGATGTGTTTTATGGTGAGAAAAGCCTATACCGCCCAAATGTTGCATTGTTAGATATTAATGGTAAAACAAAACAAATGTCCAGCCACAGCTCCATCTGGGCCTCCTAAAAATTACTCCCATCCAAAGACAGGATCCAGTCCATATCAAGTCCCCTTTCGTTATAAATGAGAAGTTTAAATATTTGCTTCATTCTGCTGTTGCAGTTGACTTAACGTGCCTCATTACAGCAGGATCATATTCCAAATCTGTTGTCTTGTCTTGGCATGACAGAAAGTTTTCCTTGATGTTTTTCAGCCCTTTTGCCGTATCTTTGGGGTCCGAATCCAAAGTTTCCTTAAATAAAGAAGTATAGTGAATCAAGTGTGTTTGATACAAGTGCTGGTATCTCCAGGTTCCAGGGATAGTGCAGAGAGGAAAACTCCTTTGGCTGGCGGGAACTTCCTTCAAATTCGTATTTCTGATGTGGAGCATGAACACGGTTTCATGAAGGAGTAGTCCAAACGACTGTGGCAATTTCTTTTGAACAGGGACTGAAGACAGTTGCCTTGCTTATGATAAATTATTAACCCCTCCTTTTGACATTAATAGCAAGCTTCTTATATAACTTATTTGTTCCTTTTTCACTTTCCAGTGTTGCTTTGGGTTTTCAAATAAGCCTTCTGATCTTCCCAGGTTGTTTTTGATGTGAATGTTTTGGAACAAACTGTAAGACAAAGGCTCCTTTAAAGTGGTTCCCTCGACTCTGCTGAGGTGTTAAGATGAAGGCCCACCGCACAAAAGAGCAGCAAACAGATCTTATCAAGACCGCCTTTCACATCCAGAAACACAAGCCAATTGGTTTGGAATTTACAAGCCCTAAAACAAATGTCAACTTCTCTTTCATCTCCTCCAGAACAAGGGGACAGAAATAGATGGAATCCCATTCTTTTTTTCTCTTTGCAAAATTTCAGAGTAAGACCTGGTTAAGCTGGACCCAGAAATTTTCTTTAATTGGTGCAGTGATGTTTCTTTAACTAAGATAATGATGCACTTTAGAAGCAATTCCAGCATCCGGCTGCAGTTTAGTAGAGTCCTTCCTAGTTGTTCTGTGTGAACCAGGAACTGTGGGTTCAAATAAATGCTAGCTTGTTTAAAAAATCACCAAAGGTGCCTGGAAATATAGTCATTGTTTGTTTATTATCATGATTATATAACATAAAGCCCAGTTATAGGAGTATTTACCAGAAAGTCTGTCTCAGTAACTCCCAGATATGTATGCTAAGCATTGTAGTCTTGGCTGCAATCCTCATCATGAGGTTCAGGTCCTATAAATATTAGTGGGATTTAAATTCTGCCTATGATCTGCAATATTATTCATGTTTCCTTATGGCTTGCACTTTTGAACCCAGTAGGACTTCTTAGTAAATATGCATAGGCTTGGTAAGTCATACTTCATACTGATGTGAATTAAAAGCTTTATTTCATATGTACATAAGGAATTTCAAGTGCTCAAAGAACTTCATGTGCATTGCTTAGGAGTTATTCAGAGTTATTCAGGAGTTTTTCAGGTGCTCATTTTTGAGACAAATAGCTTCCATTTCAAGAACCCAAGTTCCAGGGTCCAAGATCTATATTTTAAAGTTAAAATCCAAGTGTACTTGTTCTATCTACTCTGTCATAAGAAAAACTAAATTGGGGATGAGGTTTCCCCCAGCCATAAAATTCACAGAACATTTTTTTCTGAAGACAATAAGGCTGAGAGAGAGAGAGAGAGAGAGATTCTTTTTTTTTTTTTTTAATTATTTGCTGTGAAAATTGGCACCCTTTCCGGCAATACAGCCAATGAAGAAAAGAGGAGAAGGAAGGGACAGTCCTGCATATCAAAGTGGAAAGTAGTGCTTAAAAGGTCCGTGGCTCTGGATGACAAGTCTCAATATCGAAGTCACTGCAGGCTGGGCAAAAATGTACATATCCACTTCAAATGATGTACATTCTATTTCTAACATCCTTTGTTTCTTCATGGCTATTGGAGAGGCAGGCAGCCTAAGCCCCCTTGCTTAAGGAGGGTCTGTACCTGTTCCCATTTAGGGGAGGGATTCTGTCCACTGGCGTGTT